CGTTGACACCATGGGAGGCGGCTTCGCAACGACCATCAACAACGACACCTGGGACCGGTTTCAGCTCGTGGTAAGTGCGGCTCTGTCTTTGCTACATCTATTCGCACACGGCCGTTGCGCGTACCGTAAAATACTAACGAGGAGCAGTTTACCTACGGGTACGTCGCGTCCGGGGCGTGCCTCGCCTTCATGACCCTCCTGACGATCGTTTCGCGCCTCACGCCCTGGAAACCGTGGCCCGTCGTACGCGCCATCGTCTACTTCCTGCTGGCGGTGGGCCTGGCGCTCGTCACCGCCGTCCAGGTGGACGATGTCACGCTGGACAAGTACCTCTTTAGCCCGTGGCTGCTGCCGACGATTTGCCTCGTGTGGTTCGTGGTGCTGCTCCTGACGCATACGCATTCGGTGCCGCCGCTGTTCTTCCCGCGGAGCGCTACCTTTGCCGTGCGGCGGAAAAAAGGGATGGATGAGGAAGAGTGTTGAAAGGACTAGACCTGACCATCAGTGGGGCTTGGTGCCGGCATACCATCAGGCTAGGAATACATGGGACAAGTAAAATATTTTGTGTGGGAGACATCATTTACATAGCGTCGGAGTTGAAAAGGCCGATTGGGCAGCCACAATACCTTTACTTTTTTTTTGTCGATACTTTTGCTTAATTTAAATACTCAAGTTGCTATTTAGTCATCCGTGTTCATGTATCTGTGCTTCTTGCTTTTGCCATTCTTTGCCCCGCCCTTGAAGTGCTTCTTGCTGCTCAACAGTTGCACGTCCTTCGGGTCTATCCCGTTCTCCAACGCAACGACGGTGCGGGCCTTTCTTCCAGTAAGCATTCTGCCAGAAGCCTGACCCTGCTCGGTGTATTTGTGGTTGAAAGGCATGCTGATGTGGCCCTGGGACTTGTCAGGACCGAAGAAGCGGGCGTCAAGCTTCTCCGTCTTTGGGCCCGCGGGGATGGATATCATGTCAGAGTCAACTGTGACGCTGTCGTCGTCCTTCAGCGACATGGCCTCGGTCGCAGCAGCGAGCGCGGCGCGCCGCTTCTCAGGGAGGTTGAATTCGCTGTATAGCTCTCGATTGAAGGCCTTGGCGTCCTCGATTCCTGGCGGTGGGTGCACAAAGAGCAGCTTGCCGTTGACGTAGTCCTTCAGGACGTAGCGAGATGCTCTGGCCTCGTCGGGCTGACCCAGGCCTTGAGTTTGGAAGCCTCTGGCCCTTGCATACGCGCGCAGCAGTTCTTCTGCAGTCGGGATACCACTGCCGCCCTCCTCGAGGGGGCGCGTCTTGATCTGAATGCCATAGATGGCCTCGAGGAATCTCTGTGGGATTCGCTGAGTGACCAACCCTACGGGGCCGGTGTACTCTCTCATTTGGTCGATGGGCAACACGCCATTGCAGACAAGATCAGCTTTGGTAAAGGCAAAGTTGGGGAACACGAGACCGGGGCAATCGCAGAGAATAACATTCTCGCTCAAGTGGATCGTCTGGAAGTGCTTGGTCTTTCCGGGTGTTGATGAGACTGAAACCTTCTTGGCGCCTATTAAAGCGTTGATGGTGGATGATTTTCCGACGTTGGGGTATCCAACCAATCCTACTTGTAATTTGTGATCCGATGCTAGTCATGATTAGTTTGTTTCTTCAATGGCCATGAAGCACTTGGCAACCCACCTGCATCTTTGGGAGAATGTTGGAGAAATATGTCCTCTAACTCTTCAACGGTGAGAATCTGGGTGTCCTCATCTTCATCAACTGCAGTTGGAGCACCGCCATCATCCTCGCTTTCCTCTTCCGACGAGTCCTCGCCTGTTGCGGGCTGTTTGCCGGCACTGTGGGAGGATGGCTTTTCCACCTCGTCCTCTGATCCACCATCTTCGTCCCTTGCTTCATTCAGCTCCTTCGCCAACTGCGCTGAAAAGAACTTGTAGGCGATGCCGGCTTTCTTCAGGTGTTTAGCCCACGCTCTTCTTTGAGCCAGAGTCATCATATCTGCCTTGTTGATTAAAAGCAGATTCTCCTTCTTCGGATCAACATCCTTGACATAGATCTCGAGATCTTCAGAGCGGAAGAGCAACGGATTTCTAGCATCCACAATCTGCACAATGAGGTCGGATCGCTCAATAACTCGCCACAATTGGCGCCAGACTTCCAAATTTCGCTCAAAGGGCGTCATGAGCAAGTCGTTGTTCTCTTCCAGCTCCGCAAGCCCCCTCCTCCAGCTTAAAAAGGCCTCTCTTTCTCTGGAATCTAGTTCCTGCGGTGTGGTGGTGGAATCCCAGTGTGGTCTTCTGGGGACGGTCAGACGACCTCTGTGCATCTTGTGCTTGCCAAGTACAGTGCGCTCTTCGTTGGCAGAGAGCAGATACGGGTTCTTCTGGTCAGTATGAATAATTTTCACATTGTTCATCTTCTCGGCAGTAAAATCAGTTCCCGCCAGCTCCGCCGTTGCCAAAAATTCATCCAGAGCGCCCTGCTCCGTGACGGAGCGCATCTTGACCCAGGAGGCATCTTGCTTCTCGTTGACAAGATACTGTTCACCAGTGGCGTGATTAGTTCTAGTGATGGCAGACTGCTTCTTTCTGTCGCTTCCCTTGCCTTTGCCGAAACGATCATTCATCAACGTATTGCCAAGCCCCACGCTCTTCTTCGATTTTGCCAGAACCATGTTGACGGTCGCGGCTCTGCCGAGGTGGAATCAAAATGCGATGTGTTTCTTTTGGTGGTATCGTCTTCCCGCTTGAGAAACAAGTCAAACTTGAGGGGAAGGATCTGCTCACCAAAGATATTTGGTGTGAAGGATGCAGATCAGCTTTGGGTGTCAGACTTTCTTTCTTCACTGCCCGCAATGCTGGCTGATTAATGCGTCACAAATGGAGGGGCAAATTTTCCGCGATAGGGCGGGCCTTCAATCTGGCACTGTGCAGCTACCCGTGAAAATGTCTCTGACATACAGTGTTATCGGATCGCACACGGTACAAAACAACAGTCCAAAACTTTTGTGACTGCGGCCCCAAAATCTATGGAACCCCATTCCACCACCTTTATAGCCGTCAGAGTTTGATCCCGTCAAAAAAAAAAAAAAGTGGCATATCGCTAAGATGCCTCGAGGAAAGTGGATGTGCGTTAAACTCCCTTACACTACAGTAATATACGAAGAACGATTCTAACTTTTCATCCGTGAATATAGCGACAAGAAGACGGCCCAGCATTTTACGCTGGTCCATCGACCGCAAAATGACCCTCTCATCCACGACGAGACGGCCCCGGCCATGGTGTTGAACCCGACCCAGCCAAAGCCTGGTTCCTCAAAAGTGAAACATCTCGACGATTTGGCGTCAGAATTTGGCTCTGATGCGGCCGCAATTCGAGCCAACGAAGGCGAGGCTGCTAACTACGGAGTCTACTTCGACGATACCGAATACGATTATATGCAGCATTTGCGCGATCTCAACTCAGCGTCCAGTGGGGAAGTTGTTTTCATCGAGGCGAATACCAAGAGTAAGGGGAAACAAAAGGAATCATTAGAAGATGCGCTGAAGAAAATGGATCTGGAGCAAAAGTCGGGCGACTTATTTGAGGATGAAATGCTGCCCTCAAAGAACCTCAGCCGGGTCACCTACCAGGCCCAACAAGATGTCCCTGATTCGATTGGCGGATTTCAGCCGGACATGGACCCTAGATTAAGGGAGGTTCTCGAGGCCTTGGATGACGAGGCCTACGTAGACGACGAGGACGACGATATTTTCAAAAACCTCACAAAAGATGGACAGGAGATCAACGACGGTGAATTTGATGAGGCCGACTTTTTCGACGAGGATGAAGATGGCTGGGAGTCGGATGATACCGCCAAGCCCACAAAGGAGTACAAGGAAGAAATACCAGAGCTCGTCGCAGTGCCAGAGCACCCCGACGTCGGGCCGTCACAAGACTGGATGGAGGACTTCAAGCAATTCAAAAAGGAACAAAAGTCTGGCAAGCCTCGCGTTGCGCCGTCCCACTCCGAACTGCAGTCCACTTGGACGACCACCACAAATGGCGGTCGAAAGAAGAAGAGAAAGGGTGCCTTGACCGACGCGTCCAGCTACTCCATGACATCGTCATCGCTTGTGCGCACAGAGCAAATGTCTTTCCTGGACGCCAGGTTCGACAAGATTGAGGAATCGTATCTGGAAGACCCGGAGGACGACATGGCTTCTATTTCGCAGGCATCAACATCTAGCGTCGTCGGACCTACGAGAAGAGACTTTGACGGAATTCTGGACGACTTCCTCGGGAGTTACACGAAACCTGGGAAGAGAACGTCTAAAAAGTCCAAGGCACAGACTGGCCTGGAACAGTTGGAAGAGATACGAAGGGAGTTGGGTCCGCCTCGCATTCGCGGTCGAAATGTTGGAACATAGACCGCCAGAGTTTGGCAAGTGGATAATGACTTGATGAGATTTTACTATAGATTCAATAATTTCTGTTTTTAACCTCAGTCACTGCAACCGCGCCGAGCATGCATACCACCCGACCATTGCTCGCCTACCTAACCTGACCATTACTTTTTCGTAATTAACTGTCAATATCCTATACACTACGATGGGTTAACCCTATGCATGTAGGTAACATTGAAAGCCGAGGGAAATTAAAGTCCACTCCCAACTCCACTAGGAACACCGAAAAGAGTCAATAAGAGCAACCATCAGGTCAATTCAATGTTACACAGGTCGGGTCGGGTCCCGTACCTAGGTAGGTGAGCAATGGTCAGTTCTGGGTCTACACTCTCGTTCACATGCAGAGCACGGTCCGGCCAACACCCCCCAAACAAAGAACTGTTGGCATTCAAAACCCCAAAGTCTGCCGTCATGCCTTTCTACCTCGTCCAAGTCCCATTTCAGTCCTCTCCTCCTCCTCGTCTATCATCATCAAGCTTCCTAGCTCAGGCAAGCCACTGCTCTCGGCCACCCTTTTGCCCTCTCCAGCGTCCAACTATTTAAAGTCTGCATTTTCTACTTTTCAACATGTCTTCAAAGACACCGGCAGCCGAGTCAGAACCAGTGATAAACGACAATCCCGCCCTTCAGAGTCTCTACAAGTCGTTCGAGTCACGAATCGGCTACTGGCTCCTCTTAGGCAACACCCGCCACTTTGGATACTGGGAAAAGGACACGCACTGGGTATTTCCGCTCAACGGCCCCTTGCGACGGATGGAAGAGAAGATGCACAAACTCCTCGACCTGGCGCCGGGCTCGCAAGTCTTGGACGCCGGCTGCGGAGTCGGACATGTCGCTCTCTACATGGCAAGTCGCGGCTTGCGCGTGACTGCCATCGACGTCCTGGACCACCACCTTGCCAAGGCGAAGCGTAACGTCGCCCGATCCGGCGCCCTTTGTTCTCTCGTATCCGTCCAGAAGATGGATTACCACCACCTCGAGACATTACCCTCGGAGAGTCATGACGGGGTCTACACGATGGAAACGCTGGTCCATGCGACGGATCCGCTAGAGGTTCTCAAGGGCTTCTATCGTATCCTCCGACCTGGTGGGCATGTCGCCATGCATGAATACGACCATGACTATGAGTCCGACGAGGTCATTGGGAAGACGCTGGCCAAGCTTATGAGGGAGGTTAGTGAGTATGGCGCCATGCCTACGTGGCAGCGTGCCAGGCGCGGGTACTATAAGCAGATACTTGAGGAAGCTGGTTTTATAGATGTCGAGGAGCACGACTACTCGGAAAACGTCCGTCCCATGCTGCGACTGTTTTGGCTTTTATCGGCAATTCCTTACTACTTCATCGTCTTGTTTCGTCTTGAAAAGTACTTTGTGAATGCGATTGGTGGCGCGCGTGGATATTATGCGCAAAAGTACTGGAGATATGTTGCTATTAGTGCTAGGAAACCTGCAACTGGAGGCGACGGCTCGACAAAGAGCTAATCGGAAGAAGAGTGCAGAACAGTCTGGTGGCTTTGTTTAGGCCTGGAGAGTATTGCTGGCTGGTTACATCACTGGGTACTAGTGCATTCGGCAGGCTTTGTTGTGACTTTCTAGCGTTTCTACAAGTCTTGCTTAACTCAAGCTCTTTCAATTCCTGTGCTCTGACCCAATTGAACTGCGCCGCCTACTCACTCAGTCGTCAAATCATAACTACTAACGCACCGCCCAGTGAAATACGCGACGCATGAGCTGCTTAAATAACAGTACCCTTGTTCTGCTTCTTATCCACCCGGTAGTTCTTCCAAATCGCAACAGCAGGAATGCCCAGGGTCAGAATGGCGGTGGCAGAAATGGAGCCATACCGCTGGCTTTGCCCCCAGGCGTAGTTGATGGCATCTCGAGTAGGCGAGCCCACGGGGTACGTAACCTGGGCGAGATAACCGCCGAGGTAGATCTTGTCCACCTGGTCGGCCATGTCTTGGGGAATCCTGGAGCGAAGGGCTTCCGGGAAAGTGCTCGAGTAAATGGCGACGGAGACGGCGTCGCCAATGGCGCCACCAATGCTGGCGAACAGATTGAGCACAGCGAGCATCATGGGGACGCCGTCGCGGTCGCTGGCGGCCATGACGGCCATGCTGTTGCCAATGACAATGGTGCCGCCGCCAAACGCGATGAAGATCTGGCACATGATGATGTAGCCAATGTCCGCGTCCTGGCCGCGGAAATGAATCATCAGACCGGCGCCGAGAATCATGAGCGGCAGGCCGAAGCCGAGGACGGTCCACTTGAAGTGCTTGGTGTACTTGACCCAGAGGCCAAAGACGACGCCCCAGAAGCAGGAGCCGACATTGTAAATCTGCGTCATGTAGCCGGTGTCGCTGTAGCCGAGGTTGTACACGACGAGGACGAAGCTGTAAAAGTTGAGGTCCCACGAGTAGAAGCTGAAGTAGGACAGGGCGGACATGCAGCAGGCGCCCAGGACGGTCCTCTGCCTGAAGAGCTCCCACCGGATAAAGTGCGTGTGGGCAAACCACTTCTCCCAGGCGGCAAAGACGGGGAACAGCACGACGCCGGCGACGACCATGGCGATGAAGGTGGCGCTGTCGTAGGTGGCGCGGCCGTAGCTGACGAGGCTAAAGGGCAGCAGGAAGAGCACAAAGGCGGCCATGAGGATGACGGCGCCGACGACGTCGAACTCGTGGAGATAGTGGACGACGGACTGGAGCGCGGTCCGGCCGCTCGGCTGGTGCTTGTAGATGCCCAGGCGCTCGGCCTTCTTCTGGTAGAACTTGAAGACGACGGCCAGGGGCACGAAGACGAAGGGCTGGATGATGGCGAAGCACCCAATGGCCCAGCGCCAGGTGCTGTGCCTCAGGAACGCCTGGGCGGCCAGCGGGCCCGTGAAGGCGGTGCAGATGAAGGGCGTCGACACAAAGGAAAAGGCAAAGGCGCGGTTCTGCAGGCCCGACGTGTCGGCGACGAAGATGTCCAGGATGAGGTAGATGGCGTCGTAGCCGATCCAGTAGAAGACATAGCCGGCGGCGTAACTGTCGGGCCCGCCGCTGGATGCCAGGATGACCATGCCAAGGAGGTAGACGCCGAAAAAGACCAGGTAGCCCTCGGCACGGCCCCAGATGTTGAGCGTCTTGGCAATGGGCAGCTTCAAGACTCCACCGATGATGTTGGACAGGATCGAGGCCGTGGCGATGGCCGGCGCCGACGCAAAGTCGGCATACGCCGTCGCCGTGACGTTGAAGAGAATGGCCTGCTGGAAAGCCAGCATGAAGAAGCAGAGCCAGATCCTGCGCACGAAGGGACCGCGTGAGTCGGGCGATGATGGACCAAAACGTCCAAGGGGGCTGCTTACCACGCATAGGTGCAGTAGACCGTCTTCTTGGTCCAGACGAGGGCGGCGGCCTCGGCCTTTTGGACACCAAGCTCGGCGCTGGCCGTGACCTCCTGCGGATGCTGCTGGACTTCCCTCTCGTTCTTCTCCTCGAGGCTGGCATTGTCGGCGTCGCTGGGAAACGCCTCCTGGTCGTGGCCGGGCTTCGACTTCAACTCCTCGGCAGCGTCCGCCGGTGGAAACAGCCCTGCCTGGCCGGGCGTCCGGGGGTCGGCGTTCTTGGTCGTGTGCATCTTGGCAGCGGAAACCTGTCTCGCAAACAGCTTTTGCTTCAATGGTTCTCGCTGCCGCGCCCAGGGACGGCGTGGTTGCGAGGGCCCCGGGCGAGTAAATACTCGCAGAGGCCGGGCTCTGCTGCCAGCCCACCGCGCATGCAACCTCATCCGGAGGACTGCAGAGAATTTCTCTCCATCTCCACAGCCATTAGTGACTCGTTAGTCGGCCCTTCGTGGTCACGCGATTGGCCCGTCGAGGCACCGGCGTCAAAAGAGGATCTGATAAGATGGTGACGCAAGGATGCCGCGCCGTAATCTGATTGCGGCAGCTGTACTCCGTACGTGGATCAGCCCTGGACTCCAATAACCCGGAGTGGCGTTCTGGAACCCATCCAGCACGTTTTTTTGCCGATTTTGCCGATAACATTGTTCTTGGCTCGCCTTTACTCGGGAATAGCGCAGACTCGCCTCCGAAAGAAGCTTACTGGGTCCGGCATGAGGCTGCGACGGAGCTACATGGCAACAATGCCAATAGCGCTGTCAATAATCGAACCTTGAATTTTGCATCTTGTTTCTTCTCTGGCCATCTTGGCTGTCAGCAGCTGATCTGGCATTTGGCCCTTGCCGGGGGTTGCCGGCCATGCGATGATCCCTCTTCAGCTGCGAGCTGCTGGTCCTTCCAAGATTAGTCGCATGTCCATGCTTGACGCAGCGCAAACGGAAACGAGTGACTGCCGTCCAGTCAAGGATGATGAAAATGGTTTAGTCCGCTGACTTTGATGCTCCGCGACTTGTGCCTAGACTCCACCTTGGTGATACACGGGCGAAAAAGAAGGTGGTTGGTGATGCTGAGTTTCGTCACGTGACGAGGAGCTAGCAGCTTCACGGCTCTATTTTCCAGGTACCCAGTAGTTAGTTAGTTCCCTAGATACCTAGGTAGGCAAAGCGTCTGTCTGGTATTTAATCCGTGGCTGACGTAGAGTGAAAACGGCACGTTGGCAGGTAACCGGAGCTGGCCCAAGATTCCCGCTTTATGAGGCCGTCCCAGGCATCTAATTAGTCGAACATGAAATACTGTTTGATAAGTAGCTAGCCAATAAAAAAGTGACTTGCGTCATTTCATTTTACGGCAAAGATACATACATACGTCATGATAAGTCTCCGTTTGTACGAGGCCTCCACTTTTGGTAGTTCAACAGCATTCAGGTGTAACATCGTGAGCCTGGTGAAATAAGCACATATCGTATTAACATTAAAAGCAGGCAGCCCCCGGCAGGGGATACATTACAGCACTAATAAGACTTTCATGTTTGCCCTCCCCAATCCGCTTTGCCTACCCCTAGGTTAACATTTCGTTGGCATCAGGGTCTTGTTTACTCGTTGTTTACTCTACTGGGTAGTAAGTATTTGAAATAACTTGATACAATTACAACTTATTAGCGTTATTACAACTATTGTGTACAAAGTATCAATTTGGTTACGCGGTAAAAAAAAGATTGGCAGGGGTTTCGTTCAACAAGCAGTTGCCTTTTATTATCTACCTAAACCTATAAAAGCAATAACAAAGGCAAGCCCAAACACTTCAATGGCGACGATCTGACAGTTGAACCTCTGATTCTCTACTTCTGCCACTTTCAACTACCAATTCAATATCTCACACTCACCAATCAGGCCAGCTCTATATTCAAGTGCTGAATGTGTCATAAATTTGTCCAGGTTCATGCTACATGGAACTGCGACCATGTCAACGCAGACTGTTGAGTGGTCAAACCTTTCATCCTCACTACTCAAACCTCAACAGCGCATGCTCAAACTCGGACCTCGCCAGCTTTCCCCCCTTGTCCGTCTTCGTCACAATATAACTAGTCTGATAAAGACAAGCCCCAGTACCGCGTTTAGTGGAACCATCAGGAACAGACTGACTCTGCGGCTCAGTCCCAGGCCCCTGATAGATGACAATAACCTGGTCAACATTCCTAGTTCCGACGCGTCTCTTGGCCACAACGGCAGCAAGATTCCCCTTTGGAGTGGTGGCAGTGACCTCATCAATGCCATATTTCTTACCAAGCTCGTCAACAGCAAGGGACTGAATTACATTTTGGTCAGAGGTGTAGAAGAGATCCGAGCCAATGTCCAGATTCTCATTTCGCGGGCCGGTAGCAGCCAGAGGGGTATGCGGCGAGGCTGTCGGGTCCACGTCGTTGATTTTACGAGTCGCTATTCATTCTCTATATCAGCGTTCGAAACGACCATCTCTTCAACAAGGTATTCAGTTACGTACAGGTATCCTGCAGCCACGCCAGATCCAAGTTATTCTGCTGGAAGAAAACCACGGGCGGGTTCTCGGTTTTGGTATTGGAGATGTTGGTCCCTAGTTCGGCGCCGACGGCGGCGAGGCCAGTGCCCGTGAGGACATCGTCGCCCAGGTCGCGAGTGTCCTGTGTCCACCAGGTTCCGTTCCATGTGACCTGGCGGATAGCGCCGTTTATGTTCGGAACCTGGTAGAAGACGCAGATCTGGTCATTGGCCTCGAAGGGCTTCGCGGCAGCAATCTTGGAGTATTGGGCTGGGATGATTCCCAGGGTCCTTAGGGTGCCGATAGACCACCCGCTGTCTTTGTCTTTGTAGACGGCCTCGCTGAGGTAGTTGTTGCCTTCGATGTAGAAGAGGTGCTAGGATGCGACGGCAAGATGAGTACGATGCAAAAGAGGGGGTTTGAATAGGGGGCTGGGTAGGGGTTTTATTAACGCACTCTCTGTCGGTTCTTGCCAATGAGAACTGCTAGCGGCGTGTAGAGCTTTGAAACCGGTGCGTTTGGGATCTGGATCGGGGATACGTTCCAGTTTCCGTTGGAAGAGGAAGTTGCCTCGCCCAACGAGCCATTGGAAAGTTGGACGTAGATGGTGACTTTGTCGCGATCGGCAATGGCAGCTAAGCCGGTGTCATGGAGGATGGTATAAGACATGGTGTCTAGAGGTGTTGGATACGCGGGGAGTATATTTGGAGAATTACTTGGGAAAGAGATGGAGGTTGCCCGACTCTGTTGGATATATCTACATTACTCCAGCACTGTTCTGAAGAAGATAAATGCCGCACTCCGACTTTGTGATGACCTACTGAGCCCGAGCCTCATTGCGGTTCACAAAGGTCCAACGCACGCAGCCTCACTTTCTTGGCCGAGGGTTGCAATGAGAGTCCTGGTCGTTGACAAATTGTCGGCGTAGAAAGATCTGCCACGTAACTTGACTAGTCCTTTGCTTTCAAGGTGGGGTTGAACTGATGGTGTCGATATCGATTTGAAGAAACTTGGTTTCGGTGTTATAACCGCAGGCTCCGCAGTTGATGAATTCGGCAGTGCGAATATTGGCTGCGTTGTGCCGACGCGTCAGCTTTGACAGCCTTATTTCACTCACTGTATATGAATCCAATATGTGTCACCAAACTTGAAACCGGAAATCGTCATCCATCCATGTCTTCGGCAGTCATGTATGTAAACGGCCTTGCAGGGGGCTTTGCTTTCATGCGTCAGTTGCGCCCGGCAAGTAATCAGAACGGCAGAGTGAAGCGGATTATATGACTAGATCGGAGTACTCCGTGCTCCGGCATTTATCTGCCGAATTTGACATGAACAAATCCGGTTCTGCTTTGGCTTTATGCAACACGAATAGGCAACTTATCTGAAAGTGAGAGTTTCTCGGCAATCTCGGGGGGAATTATCGGCATCAATACTAAACAGCTATATACTTTATATAATCAACACGGCAAGCCTTAACTTTGAATTACAGCTACTCTTTAGCCTAGCCTTATATAAGTAGCTATAAGAAATTCTACATGTGCTTTTACAGCGAAAATTGTACATGTAAATACCTGACCCGATTAGGTTCAGCGCCTGCTGCATAACTGCGTGTTTAGTTACCCCCAGACATAAATTCACCCCGCACTGCCTAATCCAGCTTGTTGCCTATAATTGAATGTGGTCGCGGGGAGAGGTGTGAGAGATGCCGGTGAGGATGACGACGACGACGGCAACCGTCTGAAAGCTGGTCAACTGCAGCAGAATCATGGCGTCCAATCGCACAAGGGCATCATCCAGCATATGTCGGCCGCCCAAGGTGATGATCCCCGGCAAAGGCGAAGTAGCCAACAACTCGGCATTTCCAGGCCGACGTCAAACCAATAAAGCGCTGAAATTGCCACATCTCTCCGCCGTTGCTGCAACCACGATGGCAAGGCGTCAAGACTGCTTACTCCAAAGTCATTATTGCACAAGGCAGACGCGGAACGTCTTCCCCGGCTCAACTTTATTTTGGTCGTCATGGCACTAGTGACTAGACCCTTTGGCTTTCATGATGTGTCAAGTATTCATCGCCGCCACCATCATGACCGCATGCATGATTTTGCATGTGGTGGTCAGCCGCGGCCATCTATTTGTAATACGAATTCTGTCGTGCGACGTGACAGCATTTGATACGGTAAAACTTCCCGCGAGCAGTCCTTTGCACGTTTTGGAGATGAAACAAGGACCGCCCAGCGACAAAAAGAGAAATGGGGGAGTTTACGCTGCATCTTTCTCTGATGTTGCTCTTATCCAATCTTACATTGCCAAGAGAAATGCCTTATGCAGTGCGAGCCAAGGTGGTCACTGGTAACATTGTACATGACTTTGCCCGCGGTTATACCCGAAGGATGATGTTGCGGGGTTAAATATCCCGTCAATACGAGCAGAGGGCATTGTTGAACCCAGACGACAATGTCTTACAAGGATTGTCCTGGCGATTGCTCTAGATTGGATAAAAAACAAGTCTCAACACAACTTATCATAATCTCGTCACTCTGGTCTTACAACCCCCTCACACGCTTCGAAACCCACAGGTATGATGGGTGGCAATGGGAAGATCTGGAACGGGCTGAACTGGCAAACATACGTTCCCGTCAAGGATAGTGCATCGGGCATCTACCTGATGGCTATATGACGGCTCGGGATGGGATGCCGATGCTGCCTCTTTGAAACGGTGAAT